TGTTCATCAGCTGATATAAAAAGTGATAGAACAGGTGCATCATCTATAGAGATTGTTGCAGAGTGCTGAGAGAGTGCAAGTTGCTCCAGAATCCTGTGATGACCCTTCAATGCCTTGGCAATCTCTGTATCATAGGGGTGCTGATCCCAGTTATCAAGATAAGTCTCAGCAGATTCTTGTTGAACCACTTCATGGCATCTTGAAAACTTCCCAAGCTAGAAGATATATTGTAAAATGAATTCCAAATAAGTTGAGCTACTACTTACCAGTGTTTTCCTACGTGTTTTCCTATCTTGCCACAGACCATCCAAAATCCTTGATTGTGGAATATGCTTGAGAAATTTGTTGGCATTTTCATGCTTTATTCCTCTCCACATTCTCACTATCCACTTCCCTTTTGATTTGGATATCAATCTTCCTGGATAAAAATATCTGTCATTTGCATGCATTTTAACCAGAGCTCCTCTTCCAGGCCTGGAAATTAAGAATCATCAGAAAACTCATTGATATAGGATGAGTCTTCTGAACCTGATGCAAACTCCATGGTCTTCAATGTTGGACCAGTGTAAACTTTTGGAAATCTTGTTTGCTTTTTTTTGGATCTCCTATTACCCATCAGCCCTTGAATTGTGTCAGGTGCTCTTTGCCGTCTGGCTTCAGTAATGCGTGATTTCTTGGAAGATGATTTTGATGTATCCCTTCGGGATGGCTGAGTTGTTCCTGTCCTTATGACTGTTTCTTGTCGGATCTCACGTCCTGTTTGACCATATGTAATTGGACCTCCAACTGTAGCATGATCTCTAATACCATGATGGTGGGCTTCAACCTGTAGAAGTCCATCAAAGCCAGCAATGAGATCATGGCCTCTTCCTGCAATCTTATATATTTTGGAATGCATTGACTCCTGTGCATTGGTGGTTGATGGTGTAATCTCTATATGCCTGGGACTGATGCTTGTTTGTGATTGAAAAATCATACATGCATGCTCTGGCTGAAGCCACCAATTAAGCCATGCTTTGGTTCCAGGCCACTCATTCTGAACCACTGCTACCAGACTCTGGAGTTCTTTCTGATCTAATACATCACATAGACTGTGGCATATTTTTTTGAACCGGGGTGTAGTTTCTGGTGGAATTACAGATGTAATATTGGCAATTCTGGTCGAGGACTTATCAAAATGATATTGACATCCCTTTAACAAGGCTTTGGCTGCAGTGTTCAGCTCCTGTCTGCTACGTATGTTTTCATCCCTTTGTATCCAAAAATCCTCAAAGGCTAGTGTATACCCAATACACTGTGCATCATTGAAATCAACAACCTGATAGATAATAGATCAGTATGCTTAAACTCTTAATCATAAAATTTATCTGCTTACCATCAAAAATGTTTCATCAGTCAGAATTATCCCTTGTTCTTCTGCAGTCTCAGCAATGCCCTCAAACAATCCAAGAAAATGATAACGATAATGCTCTGCTGTGGCTCCATTAGCATATGTAAACAATGCTGGTGCCCACATATCAGTAGCATGATCAAAGACTGTTGTTGTAATAAGCAATGCATTTGGATCAGCCCAGTATTTATGAGCTGCATCAGTGATCAATCCTTCCACTGGGGACAATGAATTCGGAACTGGCTTGGACTTTGCAAGTACATTTTCAATCATCCAATCTGTGTGAAAAGAGAAAACAGCTACTTCCTGGTTTGCAGTATTAATCCTTATACGGACATAGCTCTTGTGCTTCTTCTGCCACTCTGCAAAACGGTTTATAAAGTTAAGACCATTTTGGTCTTTTGCAATAGCCTTGCGTAGCTGATAGGCTAGACTAGGTTTATTGCGGAAAAGCTGAGCAATATTTGCTGCCCCTTTCAGATATCCATTTGAATTTTGAGTATCATTTAGATACTGAATTGGTTTGGCATTTGGACCTAGTCTTACACGGAGTTGGTCAAAATCTGCTTGTTCCTTCATTCCAAGATGATGAACATGTGGTAGTCGACTATGATTGTGCTTGGAGCCATTGATATAGCGATACTTGCGAGTTGACAGGTCATTTCCAACTTGACCCCATGTGATCAGATATGATTTAGAATCACAGGATTTGTAGATAATTGCACCTCCACATTTACAAAAATTTTGCTTTCCTCAGCCCTCAGGTGTAGTTTGAGGGCGAATAATAATTTTGCAATTGAGGTTATCACAGACCATTACACCCAAGCATTGTTTAGCAGTCTCAAACCCTCCATCAATAGTAATTGATGAATAAGAAGCACCACGACGGTTACTACCACTGCTGTTTTTTGTGGCCCAATGAACCTGCAGAGATTTGGTGGCAAGGAACTGCTCATGAATTAGGTCAATAGAAAATGGTCCAGAGGGCCAATCTGTCCATTGTCCTCTTTCCAAATATTCTAATGATGTGAACAGAACATTTGAATCTCGGCCATTCCGGCACATAGCTTTGGGTTGTGGTACAAGAGGTGTGAATCTTGTCATAGGTGCAGGGTCTGAAAGATCCAATGGCTCCCAACGAAATGGATTGGATGTAAGCTCCTTATCCTTATGGGATTGAACTACAGATTTCACACAGCCATCAGCAGAATCACTTGACTGTATCATGTTGGATTGATGTATTGGAACTGCCTGACTAGAGACATTGGTTTGTCCTTGAAATGCAATGATCAATATGAAATCTATAAATTTATATACAAAACCTACTGTTTAAGCATCCAGTCATAGGGAATATGTTGGATTGCTGCACTGGAACTACCTGAGGAATACCATTTTGCTCTTGCAATGCAATGATTAATTAAACACATGCAACAATACTTCAAAAGGCTCACTGTCATAGCACCTAGTAGGTATAGAACCAGAATCTCTTAATTCCTCACCAATACTTGATTTTTGTACTTGAGTACTGCCAAGAGACACATTGGATATTTCTTGGAATGAAACAACTTTCCCTAACAAAAAGAATCATTCATAATCAAACCATTAGTAAATAGCTATTCATACCACTTTGGTCCCTTACAGGAACTGTTTTCATACCACCTGGTATCTGGAATGTTTCACAATTGTTTTGAGGTGACAACATTTCTAAGAATGAGGTGATATTCCCTATACAAAGTATTCATAAACTCAAAAATGATACAAGAAAGTAATTAGAATTACCATTGAGATCAAAGACAGGAACCTTTAATTTTTCATTGTATGTGGATTTTTGAGATTCTCTTACAAGTGATGGACCTTGGTGCACTACACCAGAAGTATCACAAGGTACCAAAACCTCATGGTGTGTAGTTATCTTCAATCCTATAAAACAGAAAATCAAGAACATACCATGCTTTATCAGCATGTCATATATACCTTTTGGATAATTCATGGTCTCATGAACTGATTGCACCCCATTCTCACCACATTGAGGTGACTCCTCCTGATATGACAAAAGTTTCCCTTAAAAAGTATCTCATTCATCATAAGTATCAATAGCTGAAACTTTATCATACCATCTTTTCCATACACAGGAAGATAAAGAGGCTTCTTTCTGGGGAGAGACACTTCACGAAATGATATAACATGACCTGCTGAAATTATCAGTCCTATACTTATTATATTCAGCTTATTGATGTACCATTCTTATTGGTGACAGGGACCTCCACAGCTTTTATAGGATGGTCAGCAGCTGGATCCAGAGAAGTCTCCTGATAAGAAATGACTTTTCCTTAGAAGAGCTGTAAGAGATATTGTCAAAAAAGCAATTATGCAGATTCACAGACCATCTTCATTCACGACAGGAACATAACTGTCAGCATTCCATTCTTGGGGTGATGATAATTCCCCATAGCTGACAAGCTTGCCTATAATAAAATGTGTTTAGAAAAGTAACCAAATAAAGAATGTTCCAGAAGACCTTTCTTGTATACAGGTACCTGATTGCAGACATCTTTAGTACTTTCAAACATGCTTCTATCCAAAGTTTCAGATTTCTGAGTTTTAGCAGAATTCACTGTTATATAATATATTCAAGCCACATTCAAGTTTATAGAAACCTACTCACCTTCTTGAATCAAAACAGAGATGTCTGAGTTATCCATTAATTGTTGCTCAATTTCAGTCTCCTCTGTGCATGATTCAGTGACATCAGAGGTCAGTTTGGGTGACACTGCATTTTCTTTGACATCAAGATGAGCAGACATTTAAAACGGCTCCACAGAAATGTACATACTGTCACTGCTGTCCAAGATACTGCTATCTTCACTATCAGAGTCAAGAGTAGTTAGTATACACTGGACACCGTCTCTGAGATTATGTTTGAGCTGTTTCTGATATGGAAAAATCGTAAGTAACACCATCGATCTCTATATTACTATTGACTTACGAGCCAGCCCATTTCTGAGCGTATTGTGATTGCGCTGGAAGCAGTGCGCAAAGCAAAGGAAACTTGATCAAAAGTGCATGACCTGTCCCCAAATACCCTAGCTCCGATGCTGCTGAACCTTAAATCGCGCGTAAACTAATGCCGACGCATTGGCTAACCGACCGTTGTGTAACGCATCCTTCGCTGAGTTTAAATTTGACATTCTACCGAAGGGGTGTCAAAATAATGCAGTGCAAGTTTAGTTACATGTCTTGTATCGAACGGAATATAATATAGCTCTTTAGCTCTCTTAATCACAATACAAAAAAAGCATGAAGTTACATGAAAAGCTACTCAGAATGAGTACTACCCTACCGTTAACTATTCAGGCGTGAGAAATATTCATGTGGTAGTTTGCACAGCCACTGGCACGCAAAAGTGAAAAGCGGCACGCAAAAGTGAAACGCGACACGCAAAGGTGACACGCAAAATTCACCTGCCCGTACTAGTACTAAGCATTGCCATAAGTACCACTTTTACCTAACACGCACCTCTGCGGTATAAAAGGATCGAAACTTAAAAAGAAAACACGATCGATCGACTGTGACACCTATCATGGTAAAAAATCCATACGTTTACAGGTAGTGGGGGTACCGCGGATCGAACGCGGGACCTTCAGAATGGTCAAGTTCGAGTGCTTCAGTCTGCTGCTCTCCCAGCTGAGCTATACCCCCGACATCAAAATGAATGATAAACTGGTTCTAATCACATCAGCTTACTTACTCCAAGTTCAATTTGAACAAGCTATTGGCACGCGGAAGAAAGACTACCAAGGATTACATTGAAAATCCAAAGTGTTGGTTCAACTTGGACCTCTTCCCTGGGGTTCCCGTTATGATGAAAATAAATTTACAAAATAGTTGCCAAGTAGTAAACAGGTATACCTGTACACACACTATGTCGAAATCCACAAAAGACTTTCAGTAGATGAACTAAATATACTTGAAGCCTAATCACACAAATTCTTGAGAAAGAAAAACTTCCCTCGATTGCTATTAGGGATTCCACGAATCGAACGCGGGACCTTCTGAAGTACGTGTGTAAAGTTGACGGCCCCAGTGTGCTGCTCTACCAATTGAGCTATAACCCTCTTATCCTAAGACGGTGAAGTATCCAACCCTGATTGATTCTCTTCTAAAATTATACTTAAATATTAATTTACTCGGCCGAATTATGATTCGTCCGCATTGAAGAGAAATTTAATAATCGCTTAAAATCGTCTCAGGCTGTTCATGAGATTCTGGATAAACTCCAGAAATACAATATTTTCTGGTATCATTCCGACTGTACCAAGATACCACATACCTTTACAATTATACAAGCCCGGGGATACTTCAGATTACCAGGTTCATAAAGAATACTAAGTACAACAGCAATAATAACCATAAATGTCAGATGCCAGAAGCACATATTTTCTACAATATCAATGACTGCTAGACGGAATATTGATACAAAAATGCTATTCCATATTCCAGATGGCAGTCAATAGAATATTGCTACAATTTTTCCATATCGTGTTGTAAACCTCTTCTCAGAAAAAAATATTTGAATTCATATGACTACTGAAATTATATGCAAATATGTAGCTAGAATATAAAAATTACTTGGAAAGTGGGTCACATGTAATAAATAGAAATTATCTGCCTCCAAGTAAATTTGTGGAGCTCATTTTCCTTCTTCACACCTGATCTTTGCCTCATCAAGTTTATCATTGAGATCAGGTGTGCAGATCTCATAGCTCACAGGATGCAAAAATCGTGTCCCAGACTCACTGGTAATCGCATACTGAGTAAAGGGATTTCCGTTTGCATCTTTCTTGTAATCTAATAAGCTATCAATGAGTTTATGAATTTTTATATAAACAATGAAAATACCATATCCTTCTCCCATCTTTCCGATACTCACAAGACCTATGACCATATCATTCTGCTTGGTAATAACATTATCTTGTTTTTTTCTGCGGTTATCCCTGCTGAGATTAAATGCCATGAACTGAAGATCATGATACTCAATATCTCATTCAGTATCCACTTGTTTTTTTACCACTCACTTTCTGCCAATCTTCTGTTGGGGGAGGTTGCACCCCAAAATTTTTGATCCTGACAGTATGATCTGGATTCCATTCATACTTGATGATAGCAAACTCTGTGTCCGAGCCCATGCCAATTTTCCTGTTGCCCCAATGCTTTGCCTCATCCCTGCTGGGGGTGAGGTAGTATCCACCTGTGGTGCTAAAATCCCCAGGCCTGTTCTTGGGAAGCTGGACCACCTTTGAACTAAGCTGGGATTTGGCAAGCTGCACTGTTTGTCCAGAATAAAAAATTGTGGGACTATGCCTGTATATAGCCAAGCTGATAGTATCATTCTGTATGGTGATGTTAGCAACAATAATATCTCAGAAGTTAAGAGCAGACATTATAATGACTTGAGATTAGTGTTCCATTTGCAACAGATAACCATATTGCCAAAGCAAGGTGAGCCACAACAGATGTAGAAAGCATTGATTTTCAGAGAAATATGAGGAGCTACTTTTGTGAACTTCAGGCAGCCAGCACTGGAGATGAAATATGCCAACTTTTTATATGGAGCCTTGAAAATTTCTAGCCCCTTTTACTAATATTACCAGTGATATTTTTAATCAAGCTCAGCATATGCTAGCACACACTTCTTCATCACGGCTGTAAGTTGATCAGCAAAAGCCCCAAGTTAAGGACAGATCTTTTGTATATGCACAGGTATAAACTTTATGTAGGTCTAAGTACAGATATTTTTTAGTCTGATACAGAATTAACACAGATTTCTAGAATCTATTTCAGAATAAATCATGATATCCAGTCTATAACAGATTGACCACATAATGCTGATCATCTGTAGCAGATTTTGATACTATATGGTATTGATAAAAAAAGTTAAGGGCAGGTCTACTCTTATGCAAAAGATCTGCAAAAATAATAACATTATGTCTGGTAAGCACAGATCTGTGCTAACTAGGTTGATTCTGATAATTACCAAGACATTATGTTAGTACCTTTGCAGATCTTTTGCATGTGGGCAGACCTGCCCTTAACTTTGGGCATTTGCTGATAAGTTGTACATGCAGGAACCAGATAGGAGAAATTTTCAATTTACTGAGCCCACTGAATTCCCAACCCATACATGATAGCTGGCAATTTAATGGGGTATGACAGAGCATGGGCACTTTTCATTCTAAGCAGTATGTGCCTAAAGTAGGTTCAAAAATGTATGTTTACATTTCTCTGGGAGTTTAAACATACTCATCTGACTTCATTAATTTTACCACAATTCAAAGCCTCTGGAACCTATACTCTGTCTTATAGGAACATTGTCAGAACAGGTTGTTGGCACTTACTTCCTACTCTTGCTTCTGCTTCAGTGTATCCTTTTTAGTGACTTCTATCAACTATCTACTGTTTGTTGACTTGATGACTGGAATGTATGCTGCCAGCTGTTTGATTGTAACTAAAAATAAGTGCAGAGCTGTGTGTATCAATTTATCAAACAGATTGTTCTGACGAAACTTGTTCTTTTCTACTGTCTTCTGTCAACATTTTGAAGTTACTTGTGCTTGTGATTCAGGGACATCAGATTCAAGCATGACAAATTATTGTTTAGAAGGACCTTTATATTTGCTTGTACAGCTGCAATCATGATTATTCCCATAATAGCATAGAAATCAGAAGGTTGGATAGACATATTGAAGCAACATTGACATCATTTGTTACAGTGATGTAGAAGCTTGCTGGCAAGTGACTAGATAGTGCGGTAGAAGCATCAATTTATACCACTGATCGCTGCATCATCGGGCATCAAGGTTGAGTGTCAATACCTCAGCTTCTGCAGTGTTGAGTTTTCTCCCTATATCTTTTATTTAGTGGATCTCAAATGCCATTGTCAACAATAGAGCTGTTACTGCGCTCGATGACTATGCCCCCAAGGGACAATTCTTCAATTAGTATACAAACCATTAGATATTCCCAAAAAAGTACAATTTGATATTCCTCCCTTGTCTAATGAAAGACAGTGGCAATTACAAGGCTGTGAGTCGTAAGTAGTGATGCCGAAACATCTTTCTCCTTATACAGCTTCTTAATTTTACTCTTCCAGACCACATCTGAGTACACTACAAACCTGGCAAGGTTTTTATCAGGCATGTCTCAATCATGGTGCCCGTGGTCTTGTTATTGATATGTGTTCTCTACAGAATATTGTATTTAATTTTCTCCAGCTTTGGTTTTTGAGTCTACAATACTATTCAGGTACTTGAATCTATTCCATTTCATCATAGACTATGTATTAGATACATGAATAAGAATATAGATTTACTGTGCACTTCTGTCCATTTAATGATTGCTGCAGCTAAATAGTATTCAGGAAATTTTTAAGAAAGTGTGAATAATTTCTGAAATTGGGGTATAGTTAGGGAATATCTTTCCTGCACTAATTGACACTGATTTCACTACAGACGCAAACCCGGAAGCGAAACGCACCCAGAAGCGAAACATAATATAATATTACCAAAAACGGACAGATTTTCCCACAACCAGCGTTTTCAAAAAAATCAGAAATTGTTCAGAGCAGCCCAAAACAAGACGAAAACCTGTTCCTCAATATCCTTAGAGGGGGTTTAAAAGGTCTGTGAGTTGACCTATCTCATTAGAATTTGACTCCGATGTCAACAACTCGCCAAAAACCGGGTGTTTCGCTTCCCGGTTTTTACACATTTTTCATTGAAAAAGTGTCTTGTCCATTTCTTGATCATATGAAGCTCAAATCTCATAAATCTTTTTTTAAACTAAGAGAGCATAATCCAAAGATCACGAGAAAAAAAACATCTAAAAGATTTCATCTATATTTCATGCGGGAAATGTAAAAATAGCTAAAGTGTTTCGCTTCCGGGTTTGCGTCTGTAATGTCAAAGGGGGACCGTGGATGTTTCTACTAATTTACATAATTTTAATAATCTGGCTCTTCTGAATAATTACCATAATTTCAGAGAATTAGGGGTCATTATCATAACTTAGTACAACATTAGCTGTGGGCAGTTTTCCTGATGTTTTAACTTGTATGCAGTGGTAGATTAGTATTTCAGACTATGTAGATTCAAAGAAATGATTGATAGAGACCTGTACTTTACTTGCATTTCTTTATGTTAGAGCTCCCCCTAAAATGGCACAGAAGAGTTCCCAAATTTAATGAAAGTCAATATCCTCATGATAAACCTCAAGATATAAAGAAGAGGGCTGTTGCATTTGTGTGGCATGTACAAGGCTGATTAAGAATCAGGAAAATAACAATCACATGTGGGACTGTGATATACCAAATGGAACTAACCCTAATCAACTAAGTGACTGGGTTGAGTAAGGATGAGTCCTCATAAATTTGGCCTCATAATTTAGCAGCACTCATCACTCTATCATAATCAACTACAACCAAAGCCTCTCCTCCTCCTCCTCCTCCTCCTCCTCCTCCTCCTCATCTTTGAGCTGGCCCTCATCCTGATTATCCTTCTCAACATATTCAACAATTTGATGCAATCCCTTTTTACCACTCTTGGAATTATCAAGTTCTTCTGAGGCTAAATATTTGTGTTTGTGTGGCTTGAAAATGATAGGATCTTGACATTTCTATGAAATTTTTAGGTCTTCAAGGGAGCCAAGTTATCAATCTTACTTTTTAAGCTCTGATTTTATGTGATCCATTCTAAATCCTATAATATCAACAATCACTATATGGAACATTGATACAAAAATCCTATTCCATATTCTGGATGGCAGTCAATGGAATATTACTGCCTCCCATGCTGGGGAAGTGCCAAACCCTATTCCATATCATGTTTTAACTGTACACCTCTTCTCAGAAAGAATACTGAAGTTGTATGCAAATATGCAGCTAGAATATAGAGATCACATTGGAAAGTGGGTCACATTATGTAAAAGTAGAAGTAAAATATCTGCCTCCAATTAAATTTGTGAGCTTCACTTCCCTTCTTCACACTTGATCTTTTCCTCATCAAGTTTATCATTGGGATCAGGTGTGCAGATCTCATAGCTCACAGGATGCAAAAAATGT